ATGCTAAGCTACACATTATTTTACTTAAAATGTACTAGAGGCCCGATGCATGAAATTCATGCAAGGGCCTTGCTCCTCCTCACACACACACACACACACACACACACACACACACACACCCGCTTACCCCTTGCAGCTGGCCACGGGGGCTGCCCACGGTGGCTTTGTCTAGAAGAAAGGACATCTAGAAGGACATCCAGTCTAATTAGCATATTACACTTTTATTATTATAGACAACAACATAAGCAGGTTTTGTGATAATCCAGATGGTAGAATTGAGAATCTGAAAGAGGTTAGGTAACATCATCAAGCTGGATGTGGTAGAGCTAGAATTGAACTCTAAGTCTCTTTTATTCCAGAGCCTACATCTTACCCAATATTTTACCAAGCTTTCTGAGAAATGAGAGGTCCTTGTGTGTTTACCATGCAAAATGTAGGGTGGTCTCATCTTCATCATCTTAAGGCCAAGTGAAAAAAGGAGAATTCTTCCTCCTCCCCCTCTCTTCCTTTCCCAGTTCCTACCCACAGACCTTAAGCCAGGCACTGTGCTGGCTCTAGAGATACCCCAGGGAAGAGCCAAGGTCCTGCCATTTGAGGAAAGGAGACGACAGGTTAAAAAATGAACTGCAATCATCATGTGGTATCAAGGGAGCTAGATGTCAGCAGGGTGATGAAATGTGGTCCCATTTGTAGGAGGGCAGGGCCAGCCCCTCAGGCCAGGCACCAGGAGAGTATTGTGCAGGCAGGTGCTGCAGAGGAGGCCTAGGAGAGTAGAGAGAAGGGATACCTGGCCAAGGAAGGGGTCAGCAGCCATTTCCTAAACGAGATGTCACAACAGACAACACAGCCTGAGGTCTGTGGGGATGGGGATGGGAGGTCCCAAGCTAGTAACCTAGAGATGATCAAATAGGCTTGCAATTCACTCCTTTTAAACCAAAGCATGTAACTCCATTTGTACCAAGACAACTGCCTTAGATCATTTAATCCAGCCTCTTGGTCCTCTCACCTCTTTCTGATTTTACTCTATCCCAGAACCTACAAAGCCGTCCACATTCTTGGGTGATTTGCTGATCTAGCTGGTGCTCCTTCATCTTCCTTCTCTGACCCCCAGGACTCTCCTGGCCACTCTTCTGACTTCACTCTCTAGTTCTTGCTTCGCTGAATATCTCTGGGTGCCCACCTGTGATACTGGCCCCAAGACCCCTGGTCACATCCTCCAAATGGGCTGGCACCATGATTAGACTTGCTTTGGCCTCAGAGGGATTAGAAACTTCATGGATGCACCTGTGGACACTAGCAGGACCCAGCCACTGAGGACACCTCCTCCATCCTCCCCTCTATTTCTTCACGTCTATATTGTTTATGTAATTTTCTGTCATCTACTCACCAGTATTTATTGATGAACTATTCTAGTTTAAACTCTGCTGGGAACAAAAAGTGAAGAAACTTGAACTGTACCATCTCCACACAGTCAAAGAGTTCCCACATTTATGTCTCTTGCCCCAAATTCTCTAGCAAGCTTCAGGTTCATATCCTGCTCCCTGCCAGACACTTTTACTTGGCTGTCTAGGGGCATTTCAAAATTAATATATCTGAATTATGATTTTCTTCCTTTCCTGTTCTTCCTCTTCTCTGTAACAGCCTCCATATTCTCAAAGTCAAATAAAAATCCAGGAGTCACCTCTGACTCCTCTCTTTCCCTACAGACACTGACTTATAATCCATCCATGAGTCCTATGTATTCCACCTCCAAAACATGTCCATCCACATCTCTTCAAGTCCATTCTCACCTCCCTGATCCACCACTGGGCTGCTGCAGGCCTACAGATTCCTTTATGCGTATTTGAGAAAAGGTGCCCTTCCTCCAGACCTTCACTGCCAGAACCAGGAAGTTTGTTGACAAGCAGAGCATTGGCTGGATTTCAACTTCCACTTGATCTCCAGGCTGGTGCCCTGTACAGTAAGTAACCTGCAGAAACACAGTCACACTTGTGCTGCCATTTGCCTTCTACGACTGCAGTAGCCTTGTAAGTGCCCCTCCCGTAGTCTATTCCCCACATAAAATCCAGTGTGTGGATGATTCCAAAACTCAGTTTTCCCTTCCCTGCTTAAAACTCTTGGTTCTTACCTTGATTTCCAAGCTCTGACTGATCTGGTTCCAGTTTACCTGCTGGACCACCCTTACTCTGACCACCTTTCTCTTCCTTAAAAATATAAAACATCAAGCTCCCTTCCCTCTGACTAAGGTATCATCTTTCCTACTTTCCAGTTTGAACCATAGCACATATAACAGGGTGAGTCTTAGTATTCAGTTCATCATATATTATCATATTTTAGTCCATGGATTCCCTGTTATATTTCATTGTTTAGCTAATATTTTTAATGTAACAAGTATACCTGGCCCTACCAGCCAAAACACAGCTGGGACTTTGCCAATGACTTGCCTCTAACCATATGGTCCTCTGTTTCTCCCGTCTAAGGTAACCATAATACAAATCTCATTTCTCTTTTTTTATTTTTTTATTTTCCACTTATATAATGCTCTTGTATCTTACATATATTTCGAGAGGAGGTATTTTAGTAGCTTTTAATATTATAAAAGATAACCATGATATATATATATATATATATATATATATATATATATATAATCTTTTAGATAATTTTCTAAAATTGTATAATATTAAAAGCTACTAAATACTGCTAAAATCCAATTCTATTATGTGTCACATAGTGTATTTATTTTGACTGCTGCATAATATTCCTCAGTGTGAGCATATGGCACTATTCATCTAGTCCAGTGTTCCGCAAACTCATTAGTCAACAGAGCCAAATATCAACAGTACAACAATTGAAATTTCTTTTGAGAGCAAAATTTTTTAAACTTAAACTTCTTCTAATGCCACTTCTTTAAAATTGACTCACCCAGGCCGTGGTATTTTGTGGAAGAGCCACGCTCAAGGGGCCAAAGAGCCACATGTGGCTCGCGAGCCGCAGTTTGCCTACCATGGATCTAGTCACCAGTGATGGGTACTGGAGTTCTTTCCAGGTTTTCATAATTGGGAACCAGGCTGTTACTAATATATATATATATATATATATATATATATATATATATATATATATATATATATAAATGATATCTCCTGTTGAACACATGCAGAATTTCTACTGGTATAAATTTAGAAGGAAGTTGAACTATTGGATCCCTAGTGCACAAATGTTCAAATTATTGCCAAACTATTCTCTAAAATCATTGTGCCAGATCATACTCCCACCAGCAATCTTGGAAATTCCTATGGATCCACATCCTCTTCAAACACTTGAAATGATCAGATTTTCAAAATTCTGGGCCAAAAAAAAACAGTGTAAAAAGAGATCTCATTGTGGCCTTGATTCATATTTCCATAATTACTAAAAATAATTACTTTCACTTTACATGTTCACTAGCTATTGGTATTTCTTCTCCTCAGCGCTTCAAGGTCTCAATATGAATGTTTCCAACACAAAGAGAACTTCTCTGACCACCCACGGGTGAAGGTCACCACTCTCTAGCGTAGGGGTGTCGAACTCAATCAGAGAAGGGGCCAAAATCTAAAATCCAGCCTAAATCGCGGGCCGAATGGTTTACTGAACAGTCATAAACTGTCATTGTGATGGAAACGCAGCGGAGTGCAGTGATGACAGCGCGGTGCGGGCCACATTGCAAGGCCTGGCGGGACGGATTTGGCCCGCGGGCCTTGTGTTTGACACATGTGCGTCTAGCGCATTCCTCTGTTTTCTTTGTGGCATCTACCACTACCTGAAACTACCTTGTTTGTTTGCTGATGTGTTGTCTGTCTCCTTCAACTAAAATATAAGCTCCAAGCATCTTGGTTGTATATTCACTCCTCCAACACTAAGGCCTGGAACAGTGCCAAGCACACAGCAACTGGATGACTATATGATGACAGAAATATATATTAGGTTAAGAGTTGTGTTCTAGAATCTTGAGTTTCAGCCTCAGTTCTTCCACTTACTAGCTATGTTGTAAATTACTAAAATTACTAAAATTATCTGTTTCTGAGTTTCTCCATGTGTAAAATAAGAAATAATAATATTCATTACTTCATGGGGTGGTTATGAGTTAAATAAGTGAATATTTGTAAAGTTCTTAGAAGCATACCAAAAAGCACTCCAGAAATGTCAATTATTATTATCAGTGTGCAATTTTTGTTATTACTGCTCTATGGCTTGAGAGCACAAGGCACCAAGGCAGCCTGGGCAAAATGAGCTTTCCCTTCTCCCACAGACTCTACACCCCGCTCCTCCCATTCCCACAGCCCAGAGAAAAGGTGATGGGCACTTGGGGAAAAGTTTGGGGGCCAGTCTATTTTCAAGAGAATGATCTGGTCATCCCACACAAGAAAAAGTTAAATAACAGCACAAAGTAGGTGCTCAACAATGCTGATGAGCAAATGATTCACAAACCATCAATCCATGCACCCGATAACCCTGCCACACACGAAGTCACGACATTATTTTCTCTCTCTCCCTTTTTTTCTGGTTCCTATTTTTAAAGACAGGAAAGAGAAGTTAGAATGCGGAAAGGCAAAGAAATATAAGTAAGCTGGCTAAAGAAAGGGGTGGCAGAGAACTGAGACAGGGAGCAAGGATGAAAGACAACGGGGGCTGGGAGAGATGGAAATTTTCAGATCGCACTGTAGCACTGGCCTCTAGGGTAGAACATTAAAATGCTGAGAACAGGAACATAAGGAAATCCCTCAATTATCCACCCGCCCAGGGAAATGTTTCTTTTTACGGCATGAATAGGGGTAGGGGAAAGATAGCCCAGAAAGAGGGGTGGAGAAAGGACTACAGGCCCAAAGAGGGAGGTGAGGGGAAGGTGAAGCCCAAGGCAAACTTCAGCTAACCATCTCGCCTGGGGAATGATGGTCCCGAAAAATCGGTGCCCTCCACCCCCTGCCCCCGAGTCAATGTCACCATAGCGGTGAGCTTACCTTGTTCTGCAATCAGGAGCCCTGTTCCAGGTGGAGCCTTCCTGGCCCCAAAGTGGGGAGTGCGGCCTTGGTTAAATGCACCAGGAAGCGAAGCCGGAGTGAGAGTCCACTGAGGATTCCAGCAGGTTCACTGGGAGGAACTGTTTCCATTTGAGAAGGATCAGGAGTCCTGGCCAGGGACCAGCTGCCTCTCCAGCGTCAAATTCCATGACAGCTCTGAGCCCGGGAGAGCGCGTGTCCCTGCCCCCCTCCTCCTGGCTCGGGGAGTCCCAGGGCGGGTCCGGGCAGGGGGCACATGGGGCTAGCCGATCTAGCCCGTCCCCCGCTGCCCACTGGTGGCTGGCTGGTTGGGATCCACCTCGGAAGAGCCCAACTCCTATTCGCCTGTCCCTGCTTCAGCATGGACAGTGCAAAATCCCGAAGCCGGGGACAGGATGCCCCGCGGGGACTGGGGACTCCCTCCTTCTCCAGACCTTGGCCGCGGGGGGACAAGCCCGGTTGTCAGGGCTGGGAATGCTCAGGGTATTGCATACCCAGAGGCTACAGATGGGGGTGCATGGCCCGAGTCTCTCTCTCTCTCTCTCTCTCTCTCTCTCTCTCTCTCTCTCTCTCTCTCTCTCTCACACACACACACACACACACACACACACACACACACACACACACACCACCGTTTCCCCTTGACCGACCCTCCAGAGGAAAGTAACTGTCCTTAGGCAGCACACAGCAGCACCCGGGAGGGAACGCCGCCGCGCTGAAACAGGAAAGCCAACGTTACTCCCAAGACCAAATTTGGGGATGGTTGTAATTTTAAGATTTGGATTTAAGCCACTTAAAAAAAAAAAAAAAAAAAAAAAAAAAGACATGGAACAAATTCAGAGGGGGGGGGGGGGGAAGAGAGAGGGAGAAGGCACGAACTGAATTCTGAATTTCAGGTGTTACCCAGAGCCTAAGACGCCAGAGGGGGAGGGATAGAAACCATCACAGATGGTGGTTTTCCCAGTGCAAGGCTAGAAACTCGTCTTCCCTTCCATGCCCAGCCTGTTCCATCGCGCCCTACCCCGCAGCTCCAGGAGCCCCCGGTGCCGCAGGGGTTAACACGCCCTCGCACCGCCCGCCTCCCCCGCACTGGCATCCCCGGCCCCGAGCGCGCCTGGGCGGGCGGAGGGGGAGCCGAGGGAGAGCCGGGAATCTCCGCCCGCTGCCCGGGCGCGGAGCTCCCCTCCCTGCCTCCCTCCCGCCTGTGCTATTTATAGCTGCACTGCCAGCTGCTGCGGGGAACTCACCAGCCTCCAGGAGCATTTCGGCTGAGAGAGCCTTCCAGAAACAGGGTTGTGCATAAATTTTGAGAATGGCAGGAATGTCTGCAGCCTTCTGGATTTTGATGGCTACTGCCCACTGTTTCATAGTCTCCATTTCTGAGGGGGGAGAGAGAGAGAGAGAGAAAGAGATAGAACAGGTTTTGAGACAGGTGAATTTCAAATTTTCAGGCAGGCCATTTGTCTTGCTGGGGACCTTTGGTTATCAGATACGAGGTGGGGGTGGAGAGAAGGAGTCCTCCATGAATTTTCAGGCTCCAGGCTCATATCATTTTCTGCAACACTCAGCCTGTTTGGGTTTTGCCTGTCAGTCACCGGTTCAGAGAAGTATGAGGCCATGTCAAGAGCAATGCAAAAACCACACCCTCTGACATGTGACTGCCTGCTTATTGGGTGTCTCAGGGCTGCCTATCAGCATAATACACACGTCTGGGTGTCTCTGTGTCAAATTCTACACCAAGCCCTGGAAAACAACAACAACAACAAAAAGCAGGCTATGTATGGTGTCACATATAGGCTTCTGGCCCCAGCAGGTCCTTGTGACACAGGAGAAAACACAACCTGAGTCTTAGATAAGCCGCCTACTGCACTAGTCTAGAAGGTCCTAGACTGATGCCTGGCTCCCAAGCCCCTTCCTTCAAGTCCTCCTTATGGAACAAGTTCTTGAGACCCTGTGCTGTGCAAACCCCCTGAAGGACCCCTGGGTGCTGCAGAGAACACCAACCAGCAGCATCTGCCCTCACAGAATTTAGCCACAGGTGTGGGAGAAGCCTGCAGGTCCGAGGTGGGGGTGCTAAATCCATCCATCTCTGCCACTCCTTCCCTGCCCTGCACCAGGTTTTTCTTTTAGAGCAGATCCTAATACAGAAAGAGGTTATTATTTAACTGTATTTATTCAGAATGATCCTAGAATAGGGCTTCCAAGTAATTTATCTTTCTAATTACCTATGGGCTAAGCAGAAACCGTTTTGGTTTAGGTCCTTGTTGTTGAAAGGCTTTTTCCCGGTATTCACTTTCCTGCCCTAGTACAGAGAAGATTCTGGACGTACTGTCTCTGAGATGAGTCAAGATCCAGGGATGGCCAAAACCGGTTTGGCTCAGTAGATAGAGCATCAGCCTATGGACTGAAAGGTCCCAGGTTCAATTCCAGTCAAGGGCATGTCCCAGTGGAGGGTGTGCAGGAGGCAGCTGATCGATGTTTCTCTCTCATCAATGTTTCTTACTCCCTCTCTCTTCCTCTCTGTAAAAAAAATCAATGAAATATATATTTTTTAAAAGATCCAGGCATGCATCCAGAAAATGCAAGTGCAAAACTCTGGAGCCCTGTGTCCTGAGTGCATTCTGGCTATTTAGATAATTTTGTTGAAATTATTTGTGTATCAGCGCATTGTCTGTAAAATGTGAATAATAGTAACAGTAGATACTTCATGGGGTTCTTCTGAAATTAAATGTGATAGTCTACATAAATTGCTTAGCTCAGTGTCTAGCCTCAAGACACTAAGTATTATTAGTATTGCATGAATATGAGCTGGTGTTGATTTGGTTGAATTTGTGTACAAAGAGGCATTTAAAGAAAATCTATTCTACCTATGTAAATTTATAATATAAGTGAGTTTCCTTTTCAAAAATATTTTTAAAGTATCATTGACATGCAATATCATATTAGTTTCAGGTATATAAGATAGTAATTCGATTTTGTATCCCTTAGAATATGGTCACCACAATAAATCTAGTAGCATATTAAATCTAAAATGCACAACCAACCAACCAACCAGAAACAGATTCATAGACACAGAGAACGAGCTGAGTGGGTTTCCTTTTCATTGTACTAGAGGAGATCCCCAAGGCAGTCCATGTGTACGGGAGGTCCCTGGTCACTGGCCCTGCATTTTCTTATTTTAGGGAAACGATACATCCCCTCAAAAGTCCTGCTGCTAAATCTATAAGATTCACTCTGACACCCAGGGTAAAGAATTACCAGCTTATAGGGGTCCATTGCTGTCCTGAGGAAAATATCTCGATATATGAAAAGTGCTTTAAACATAAAAACACATTGTGAAGTTTTCCAAGAGACTATATATGAAGAGGAGATATTACTATTTAACTGAAAACTCAAAGGTCAGCATGGCTTTGTACAGTGTCTAATTTCCCCTCCTAAAAATTAGGCTCTAGAAGGAAGGAAGGAACTTGGTCCATAAGACTAGTGCTCTGACACAAAGGATTAGTCATCGACCCCGATGTCCATCCTCCCTCTCTTCAGAAGAGAACCCCTGATTGCAGCCCGATGTGGTCTACACACTTGTGCCAATGAGCTATAAAATAAGGGGCTATATGGGAGCCCCCCTCCCTCCCAAAACCTCACCCAAGAGACCTTGGGTAGGGGGTGGTTTGGTTTGTGTCAGCCTACATAAGCTAGAAGAATGTTTCTCAAAATTTCCCTCCCTGCTTGGTTCTGGGCTAGGAGAAATTTGCACAGTTTGGAGGGTGAAGCAGCAGCCATGTTCATACCCGGAAGGTCACTGTGAAGTCAGGTGCTGTTGCCGCTTCTGCACCTTGTCACGATCTGCTGGCTCATCTCCTCAGCATGGCAGCAGCGGAGCCTGCAGCAGCTCCTGCTGGATCCTGCTGTTTCTCCAGCTCCTGCAACAAAGTGCCTGTGCGCTCCACCACAAAGGGCCCCCACTTTGCCCACAGGTCGCCAGCATCATCGGCATTGTAGGTTCAGAGATGGTTTGAGATCAGTGCAGGTTTTACTGCATCCTCATGGGTTCTAGGGTATCCTTGTTCTCTGTCTGTACCAGTCAGGATTCCACCAGAGAGACAGGACCCATAGGAGGTATATAAAGGTAATTATTACAAGAAATGGGCTTACCCTGGAAGCTTGCGAGGCAAGCCCACAATCTCTCAGGAACAGCAGGCGGGACCTGCCCACGCACAAGGTGAAGCTGCAGTCAGAAGGGAAAACTTCATCTTCCTGGAGCCTCAGTTCTGCCTTTTCCGGATTGAATCGGTCATCCCCAGATGATCAAGGATATAATTTCCTTACTTAAAGTAAACTGATTATAACTTCAATCTCATCTATAAAATACCTTCACCGCAACTAATTTAATGACTGTGATAATAGCCCACCAAGTTAGCACAAAAGCCTGACCATGAAAATGTCCGCCTTCCCTACTAAGTGTTCTGTCCTGTGGTCTTCACACAGAACCAGCATAGCAGAGCATAAACCATTTGGAAGGTCAAGTTCCTAAATTAATCCCTTATGCTACTTCATTCTTAGTGGGCCTGCTTTTCTGACCACACCCTGACTAATGCTGACACTGTGGCACTCATGCTTTGCCACTCTCCTTCCTTTCCACCACCCTGCTGTCTACAATACGGATATGCAAACTCAGACCTGGGGACAAGGGCCACACTCCAGGTATGGTGGAGAGGTGGGCTGCAAAGACCTGATTCAGGAAAGTTGCAGAGCTACCATTCGACCCCTGAGAAGCCTATCTCTATATCTATTTCACATGAGAAAGAAAGCAATTTCCATTTTACTTAAGCCACTGTTGTATTGGCATGTACTGTTGATTGTGACAAACCCATTTCTGGATGATGTGTAATAGAAATATACTATAAGCAAACGTCAATTGAAAGACTCAAAAGTTGGAGCATCACCTTAACCGTTTTGGCTCGGAGGATAGAGCGTCAGCCTGTGGACTGAAAGGTCTCAGGTTTGTTTCCTGTCAAGGGCAACCTTGGTTGCGGGCACATCCCCAGTAGGGAGTGTGCAGGAGGCAGCTGATTGATGTTTCTCTCTCATAAATGTTTCTTTCCCTCTCTCTTCCTCTCTGTAAAAAATCAATAAAATATATTGTTTTAAAAGTTGGAGCATCATACATTAGGGTGGAAGAAAAAGTCACTGGACTATTTTATTTATTCCTTTTCAACTATCGAATAATTTTCAGGGGAAGATCTGGTACAAGTAATCTTACATCTGAAAAAGACAGCCACTGACTCTGAAGACTTAAGCCAAGTTCCTTTCATTTTCTGGGCCTCAATTATCACATCTAGTCTTGAAGGTCCTAAACTGATACCAGGCTCCCAAGCCCCTTCCTTCAAGTTCTCCTTATGGAACAAGTTCTTGAGCCCCTGTGCTGTGCAAACCCCCTGAAGGACCCCTGGGTGCTGCAGAGACACATCAACCAACAGCATCTGCCCTCACATAATTTAGCCACAGGTGTGTAAGAAGCCAAGACTCCATCCACAGTTGTTGAATGAATGAATGAATGAATGAATGATACATTCATGACACCCATGCTTGATCTGAAGGACAACTTCAGACTTACTGAGTAAACCAGAGCACAGATTGGTGATTCAAGTCTTCCAATATCCAGCCAGTACACTCTGTCTCATTAAACACTGTTTTACTTCCAATGCAGAATAACTGATTCCTGAACTGTGGTTTCCCCATCTAAATGGTAACCTATAAAGATGTTAAAGAAAATGCCAAGG